AAATGACTACATGTCAATTACTTAACCCGAGGCTCAGCTTCTTCAAAAAGGAAGTGGATTCAATAAAACCTACTTCAAAAAGTTGTTGTAAAAATTTAATGTAAGTGAAAATATGTACACCAATGGCTAACAATCTCTTATAGGTAAGAGGTAGTAGCCCCTGAAAGTTACCCGAATGAACAAAGTGCTCAATAAATAAACAACAGGAGCTCAGAAGAACCACCACACCGGAGAGGGAGAATCAGAGAAAACCTTATAGAAGAGATATCTGAGATTCGCACTGAAGGACAAGTATTTTTACCAGCCTGAGGGACAAAGCAAAAAGCATGAAGATATTGCCTTTATGACACAGAAGACACACAGTTCTGTGTCTGTGGCCTCCCCCCCCCCAACATTTACTTCAATTTCATGTCTATATACCTTCACACAGAAAAAAGTACAATGTCAATGGTGCCATCCTTCTTCCATTCAGATTGAAAATTTTAAGTCTGTGCTCTTTGACTACATCAGATATAGTTCATTTTCTTTTCCCAACATCAGCTCTCCTCCCATTCTTTCCCTACTGGGCCCACTCCCATCAACTGAATATAGGCTGTCATCTAAAGCAATATTTTGCAAACTTTGTGTTCTGAGCCACTTATGGATAGGGAAACTAAATATTAAGTCAGGTTTCAAAAAAAATAGAAAATAGTCTATCAGGTATGGAGAACAGTCTCATGAAGACTTGATTTCAACTTAAATCTGTGTGTGTGTGTGTGTGTGTGTGTATGTGTGCATGCACGCGCTGATTCGTGATGCAAAATATATCTTTTTCTGTGCAGTGTAATTTGAAAATATCATATAAAACAATAATTCTTCAAGGATTTGAGCTCTGAGCAACAGCAGTTCGATTCCTGCCCCGAGCTGAGCTGCCGTTGAGCTGCCAACAGATGGCAGGACGGCTCAGCTAACAACAAACAAACAAACAAACAAACAAACAAACAAAAAACCCCCAACAAAACAATAATTCTTTTTTTTCTGGTGGGGTGGGTCAAACATCTCTGAAAATCTGATGGAAGTTAAGGTTTCCCTAACCAGAAAACAGGAGTTCACATTCATTTACAAATGATGGTAAATGCTGAATTTCAAGGGGTTCATAAAACCTCCTGTGGCCAGTCCAAGGCCTTCAAGTTAAGAACTTTTGGGGTAAGTTTCAGCTACTGCCAGAATTGAATTTCTGAATGTATATTTGAGATACACAACTTTGTGTATATAAAAGGTCCCTAAAAAGCAAGAACCATCTTTGCACATATTTGAAGTCACAAGAAGGCAAAAACCATCTTTTTGTCAGCAACTCTGACAAGTAGCAGTATCTCAGGATGCTCACAGAACTGATCTACATCCTTTTTCTCCTGTTTCAGAACCATCGGTGTCTCTTTCATGGTCAAAGAATAAAGTTTCAGCCCTTCTCCTGGTATTTTTTTTTCAACATTAAGCCCCTATAACATGCCTGGCACTGCGGACACAAAGAAGAGTTCCTTTATAATCTTGCCTTCCTCATCTTCTCATTTTATCTCCTATCACTCCCAAGATGGGTCTGTCTCTCTTTAGGTCAAACTGGACTGCTCTTTATTCCTTAAAATATCATTCCAAGCTCCTCCTCCCTCATTTAAACTGCACCCGACTTTTAAAACTCAGTTCAAATGGTTTTTTTTTTTTTCCTTCTTTTTTTTAGCTGAGCGATCCTGCCACCTGTTGGCAGCTCAGCTCCGGCCGGGAATCAAACCGGCAACCCTGCTGCTCAGAGCTCTTGTGCGAGCTCTTAACCAACTGAGCCACTCGGCCGGCCCAAAGGTTTTTTATAAATCCAATCTATCTAGGTAGGTCCAGCATTTATTTGTGTATACTAAGGCTGTTAACTAGGATTCACAAACAGACTTCAGTTAAATTCTAATACTGTATGCTCAATTTTATGTAAAGGTGCATTTCTCTAGAAGGCTGGTCCATGGCTTTCATAAAAGATTTTAGGGTTGCAAAGGGTCCCATCATGCAAAAAGGTAAATCATTGTATTTATACGACTAATTCTGTATCCTATGCTGTTTCCTTTGTCTTTTCTATTCTCCGAGGGTAGGAATTACGCTCTGTGTGTAGGCACACAAACAGTAGTTATCTGGGGAATGTCTGATGCCTTTGTGTTTCTTGTACAACCCTTC